AAAAAAAAAAAAAAATGATGCGTTGTTGGTAAACATAATTCAAATAATACACGGGATTACAAGGCAGTAAAAATTCCGTCAGCCAAAGATAATCACCTTTACGAGTTGGATGAACAACTTTCCAGATGGGAATGGGGATCTACGCACATGTGCATGCGCACACAGGTGTATGCTGCTAGATACGTATATGAACCCGTGTGTGTGTGTGTGTGTGTGTGTGTGTGTGTGTGTGTGGATGCATAAACGTTATGTAAAAATTATCATACTATACTTGCAGTTCTGTGGCCTCTTTTTCCACAACGGGGGGCCCATTTTCAAGTGGATACACGTGGCCAGGTAAAGAAATAAAGCAACAATGTATAGAAGAGAAGCACTGTTTGAGGTGAGCTGGACGCCGTTTACATCCAAGCTCTGTAACTTATTAGCTGGGTGGCCTTGGGCTCCGTTAGCCCCTCTGAGTGTCATTTGCTTGTCAGTGAACGGGAGATGATCAGACCACCTTGGAGGGTTGTTAGACTAACCAGCAGGTGCCCACTTAAAGGCAGATATTTTCACTACTGATGTTCTCACCTGCTTAAGGAGTGAAGGAATTACCAGACTTCTCAAGTCCCCCAAGCCATCCGAACTCTGTGTTTTGATCCATCCTGTGCTTAGATAGCGTCTATTCAACCTTAAGGTGACAGTGCACAGAGTGACCCTGCGGCACCCTTCCAGATCACCGACAGGCATGCCCGAGCTTGCCAAAATGTCCCGGAAGCATTTCTATTGTTTTCACCTGAACCAAAATGTATCTGGTGAGGAACACAACTTATGTGATGCTGCATAAAACAAGAGAAGCATAAAGGGAGCTGAGCAACTATGAAATGACTATCCGAATTTAATGAAATCTTTAAAACGCACACACACACGCACACGCACACACACATGCATACTTGCAATGTGAGAGCTGCTTCAAAGAAAAAAGATTAGGGAAAATTATTATTCAAATGAATTTAAGAAAAATTCCACTTCCCCATCTACACTCTTACTCAGTGCACACAGGAAACTGACATTTTACGGTGACAAGAATGGCAAGATTATAGTGACTAATGCTACAGACGGTGAGACAGGCAGTTAAGAGGCAGTCTCCCCCTTGGAGAATATTTGATAACTGTACATCAAGGGCCCTAAAAATGTTGCTTCCTTCCATCTGGTAAATTCCACTTCTTAGAGGCTTTCCTAATAAAATAATCCTGGATCTTAAAGAGAGAAAGAGAGAGAGAGAAATAGCTCGATGCATGGATTGTCCTCGGATTATAATTTATAATAGGGAAATGCATAATATATAATAAGGGAAGTATAAAAGATGGGAAAATATCCAGCCTTTTCAGGACAGTTTACATAAATTAGGATCCATTTATCAGATATAAAGTCATTAAAATTTGTTTCTAGGAATTTTAATAAACATAAGAAAAAAGCTTCTGTCACAAACTATAAAAAAAGCAGATTATACAACTGTACATATCACGTGACTTTAAAATTACTTTACAAAACACAGAAAACCCCTGTATTATTCTTTTTTAATAAAATTTTTTAAGTTTATTTATTTTGAAAGAGAGAGACAGCATGAGTGGGATGGGGCAGAGAGAGAGAAGGATAGAGAATCCCAAGCAGGCTCCATGCTGTCAGCACAGAGCCCGACACAGGGCTCGAACTCACAAAACGTGAGATCATGACCTGGGCCAAAATCCAGAGTCGGACGCTTAACCGACCGAGGCACCCAGGCACCCCTTATTCCTAAATAATGTTGACAGTGACTCAGGTGAATGTTTTTGCCACATCCCCTTTGTACCTAAACTTACTGCAGTGGGCATGTATTACTTCTATAAAGAAAGCATTGTTTTTATTGAAAAAAAGAGGGGGGAAAAAAAAAAAAACAAGAACCAAGAAAGAAATAGCAAATGTGAAAGCAACAGCAAATTAGGCAGGAAAGGAATAAAGGCCTATCTCTAAGTTCCCATACCAGGCCGACCAACCCCTGCTACAGTATTATGTTATTTCAAGAACTCCCCCTCGAGAACTGACCGTCAGTGCCTGAGAATGGGGAGCGAGGCAGGGAAGGCCAAGCGGACAGACTCAGGGAACCTTGGGGACAGGCAGGGCCAAAACCGGGAGTCACAGGAAAGCCCACGCACATTGCCCTCCCTGTCTGGGCACGATCGGGCTGGCTCTCCTCACTGAAAGTTGAGACAGGAGCAGGGACAGGGACCAGAGCCAGAACTGAATTTCTGGGCACGTAGCAGAGGCCCGGGTACCCTGCTCGACCAACAGGCACCGAGAACAGATCCTGATCGGAGACGCTCACCTGGAGGTAGATTGCTGCCTCTTGATAGTTGATCTCCCAGTTGTGTCCGATGGGGCTCGATGGGGGACTCTCACCCCCTGAGCCTAGACTGGGGGCCCGGGAGTCGTGGACGGCATAGCTGCCTCCATCTGCGTGGGAAGAAGACAGTGATTCCCTCACAACCCAGGCTCAAAAGGATAAAGACACCGCTCACCAGAAGAAAAGGCTCGTACGCTCACACGTATATCCCATTATCTACAAGTCAACACTGGATCCCGTGTGATAATAGCAAGAATTAGCATGGCTAGTTAGAAATGTTTTTCATTCTCTTGTTAAATGAAAAAGGCAAGTGCAAACGAGCACATACAGTATGCTGTCTTTTGTGTAAAGAAGGGAGGAAACAAGAAAACATACAGAGATCTCTCTTTACAAAATAAAGAAAACAGGAAGGATAAATTAGGACTCACAGAAATCAGTGACTTACGAGGGGAGTGGGGAACAGCGTAGAAGTGGTCACTCCCTTTGCGTGAGTGATCTTTTTGTACGCTTTTGACTTGTGGAAGCATTTTAACGTTCCACTTCGTTAAAAAATAAAAATAATCAGATTTGTTCCCCGGTGCCGGGTCCTCTGTTGCTTTTCCCTGCTGACACCCATGCCCTCTTTGCTTCCGGTAACACTGATCCCCACCTGCCTTTGGAGAACATCCTCTCCCTACTTTCCACCCATTCTTTGTATCTGGCCGACTCCACCCCTGGCTCTCGGGCAGATGACATAAAAAGCGCCTCATCTCCCTGGCCAGGGACTGGTACAGGCTGTCCCAGGCCCAGCCAGTGAGGGCTGAACTTGGGATCTTTTCCTGGACCACTCAGGAAGGAGGGGCTCTTTCTCTGTTGCTGCAGGTGGCTGAGGAAAGCCTGCCTGAGAAAGGAAGCCGAGAGAGAACAAAAGAATCACAGCGATAGCATCAGCTGCACCCCTGGGATCGAGCTGTGCCTGATATCCACCTCTTAGCGTTTCCAAAATCTGAGCCCATAAAGATCCTTTTATATTTAAGCTTGTCTGAATTGGGTTTGTCAAAACCCTCAAGTGTGTCTACTGATACCTGGCAAGCAAAGGCACCAATTGGGGAGATTTACTATCATCTAGGATAAGAGTTCGGTTGCCCACAATTCACACTCAAACTGATCCACCTACAGGAAAATAAAGAATGAAATATGTTTGGATAAGGAGATAGGCAGAGATGACAGGAAGCAAATATGTAAAACTCACAAGCCAATCGGGAAGGGCGGGAAACTGGTAGGGTTCCTAGGGCTGCAGGGTCATAACTGGTCCTTTCTGACCTTGCACTGCCAGCCAAGGTCAGCTGGATCCAACAAAGCTCTTCTCCACGCACTTGCAGAAACCATTTTATTTAGATATATTGGACACACAGTAAAAATGCACAATTTGACATGTTCGGATACATGCACACACTTGTGGAACCATCACTTTCATCAAGACTATACATCCATCGCCCCTTCGTGCCCACCCCGGCCCATCACCCCCAGGCAACCACTGATCTGTTCTGTCACTGTTAGATGAATCTGCGTCTCTTAGAATTTTACACCGATGGAATCATGGAGCACGTATTCTTTTTTTGTTTGGCTTCTCTCTCTCAGCATAATTATTCAAAACTCATCCGTGTTGTATGGTGTGTGGATGGCTCATTCCATTTTTTTTTTTTTTTT